GCTGTTGATGGCCAAAACGTGAGCGAGGCGTGAGCCATAAATACGATTGCAAATGGCAGCAATTAACGCCGAGCTGCGAATTCGAGCCCGCCACCGATCTGAAGACTGAAATACTTTTTAGCCCAGCTTCCTTTGGCCATCGGCAGCACGCCCCCAGCCCATGCCCCCGGCTAACACATGTGCAGCTCAGCGAACGTTTTCATAAACATAAAAAGCCAATTTCAATAACATTTTCTTTCTATTTTTTCTGCTTTTTTGCTTGCAACATGAGGCGCAACGGCAGCAATATGTTGCTGGCAGCAGTTGCAACAAATTTGTTGCTGCCTCGCGATTGCTGTTGTTGTTGTGCTTTTAGCTAGAATATCGTTTATTGAAACATTAATTGCCCTTGTGAAAATCACTTTCGAATAGTTCAACAACATTTCAAGCAGCAGCAGCTGCTGCTGTTGTTGTTGTTATTGGTGTTGTTGTTGTTATTGCTGCTATTCACATTTGCATTTTCTCCCTCTCGTGTTGCTGAGACACTTGTTTAAGTTTTTTTCTTTTTTTTTTTTTTTCTTCTGTTGCTTTTGTTGGGGTCGTCGCCTATTTGCTTAGTGTTTGCTTCCTTTTGCGATAATTGAAATCTGATGTTGTGTTTCGTATGGCTAAGGTGAGGGTGTCCGAATGGGTTTCGCTGTGTGTTTAATTTGTGAGCTTAGTCTAATTTTAAATTAGTTACGGAACACCCCAGTTTTCAATAAACTAAATATAAAGAAAATGATAAACAAAAATAAAATCTAATATATCTATTTACATTATTTATATATGAAAATCTGAGAAGCCTATCCAGGTATCTTAGTTAAGCTTTTTATTACTAAATTATTTACCTAAATCAAGATATCTCAAAGCCTATTTCTACACAGTTCTATTCAATAACAAATTATAATTATTACTTATAATAATTATAGTTTTTCAACTAGTTTTTACATTAACATGAGAACTAAAATCAATTAGAGTCAGGTGAGATCATCAAGATCTGTCCGAACTCAAACTTCAGTGTTTTCTCGCTTGTTATTCAACAACTTGAATGGATTGTTTCGATTGCTCTTGAGTCGGGGATGGGCTTAATTCATTAATGACATTCTGAATAATTGACAAATGTTCATGCACTTATTGGGCTGTTACAGTTCACAGCTTAATCACATGTTCTACAGCAGTTGTAACACCTACAGCGAAATCCGACTTCAGCCACACACAAAACGATTGACAGCCAAAGCTGTCAACGCATTTGAAAATCAGTTGACTGAGTGCCAGGCCACGCCCCATTCTTATATATTATTGTAGCTGTTGTTGTTGTCGTTGCCGGTGGCAATGGCGACCGACACTCGGCCCGCAGCCACAAGTCGCATAATGAAAATGTCAACTACGCTGCAAGCTAGGCGCAAAGTCCACTCGGAGAGTCAGGCGAGTCGCCGCCAGGCAGTCAGGCAGGCAAATAAATAAGGCTAAACAAATATTGAGGGTACGAGCAACGAATATTAGATTCACTATCAATGAGATTTATTTTATCCCACTAAGAAGAAATATCTGCAAATATTACTCTAAAATGTTTTATTCCTGATAATAAAAATGAATACAATAGTTTATTCTAATGCTAAGCCAAATAACAATAACTAACTATAGTAAAGCTCTAAGAACAAAAGTTAAAAATAATCTTTACACTCATATTAATATTAATATTAACAGATTATTATTTCCCTTATTGGCTTAGCTTAGCTTTAATTGTGTGTGTGTGTGTTTTTTTTTTTTTTTTCCACTAAAAATGATCATTCAACAAACGTTTTTTAAAAATATACATATTTTACTGCCTGGAATATAATTAAGAAAACTATTAAAATATGTTTATCATGTTTATATACCAATAAAATAATAATATAAATTTGCAAAAAATAATTGACTAATAAAATTACATATATAATAATATGTATTATAATACATATTAAACATATTCTCTAATTTATATACACCTATACATACATGCCTCTTTTACAAACTGACTCTGAAAAGTAATATACCCCACACTCATAGCGCATAGATAAAAGACTGAGAAGTGCAGTTGCGCTGCAGCGGCAGCAAATGTAACGCAAATATCACGCGTGATTCATCGGCGACAACAACAGCAGCAACAACAATAGCTGCAAGAAAACAGAAACACCCACACTCACACACACATATGCAAATGCAGAGCTGCTGCTGCTGCAGTGGTTGTTGTTGTTGCTGTTGTTGTTGCTGTTGCTGTTGCCGTTAGACGAAGCTCATTTCAGCGCGTTTTTCTGCTTGTTAGAGCAACGCCCGCGTCGGCTACAAATTGGGTGGGGATTGCAGAAGAGAGAGAGAGAGAGAGAGTGTGTGTGTGTGAGAAAGAGTGTGAAGGAGCGAGCGAGGAAGAAGTTGAGACAACAACTGTTAAGTCTGCGCCTTTCTTATTTATTAAGCGACAAAAAATTACGGGCCAAACAATTGTTGCTGCTGCTGCTGCTCCTGATGGGTTGTTGGCATTTGTTGTTGTTGTTGCGACACTGTGTGACACTTTTAATGCCCGCGTTGCTTACACAATTTGGCAAAATTTTAATTGCCAAAATGGAAAACAAATCGAATGTACTTGAACCGTGGGCAAACGATGTAATCGATAACAAAAGAAACGAATTCAAAATGCTTGAAAATAAAATGGAAACAAAAGCAACAACAAAATGGTTGCAACAAACACAAATTTTGGCATTCAATTCCGTTGACAATAAGTTGCAATAAGTCGCTGATTTTGTCTTTTGGTGTCTGTCGATAAGCCTGATTCAGAATCTTTGTCAGCTATTGGCCAACACGAAGCTTGGCTTGCATTTAACATTGAGGCATAACAGCTATGTTAAGTTGTTTAACACGAACAGCTATAGTTGTTAATAAATAAATATAAATTTATAGAGTTCGAGTTTTGGTTTAATTAAAAAAAAAAAAAATATTAGAACATTATAAACTCACTTTTAAATTATTTTAATATCTAGTTTAATTTGCATTTTATGGTTTTCGAAATTAGAAGCTCTGAGCCACTGTAAACTGCCGTAAGCTGTTAATAGCATATTCATATTCACCAGTAATGTTAGAACTTATGTAAGGAACAGAGACAAGATATATAACGGACATTCGCTTGCAGTTGAAATTCGTATGCGAGCGCAAGGCGCGCATAGAAGCAAAAATAATAAGTAACGGTGATTTGAGAGAGTATGAAGAGAGAGCAGACATAAGTAATGTTAAGTGAAAGAATAGAGAGAGAGTCGACAATGCTGCTGCTCCAGGCAGAGCGTATATTGAATTTACAGTAAGTGTGTTAAAATGGAGCATAACAAATTCGTGTTTAGCTTTTGTTGCTCGTCGGCTTTTTAGGGTGCCGCCACGCTCAGCGCAGCTCAACGTGACCCGATTTCTGGGTGCAAGGCAGCAAAGGGCTAGGGCTAGACAGTGGCAGCAGCAGCCGCAGCAGCCACATCAGCAGCAGCAGCAGCAATAGAAACAGTTACAGCAGCAGCAGCAACAATTTGGCAATCATTTGCATATCGTTGCAATGATCATTGGCAGCTCGGAAGGGAACGTGTTGGCATTTTGCATATGCTGCCAGCGATAAAGAAGCGCGAATCGAAATTTCAACTTAATTACAATTGGATTGCATGTGGAATTGATTGTTATTGTTATTATTGTTGTTGTTGTTTGTTTTCTCTTTTGATGACGTCTTCTCTTGTTGTTACTCCGCTGTTGTTGTCTTTATCTTGTTTACTTCAACAAATTCGACGCATAATGTCGAGTTCAACGTTTTTCTCCTCAACATCTATTTTTCGTCTACAAAATCCTTGAAATGAGTCAATAGTCTCTATCATCTGCCATCCCCCACGCGCCCCACTCAACCCAACGCAATCTCATCTCATTTACAAATTGTTCGAATTCTTCCGCGAAACATAACAAATGAAATAGCAAAAAGTTTCGTTTTCTTTGCTTTGAGTTGCTCTGAGGAGTCTTCGGTCAGACGCGTCTTATTATTCCGTTAGGCTATAGGCCTATTGCCCAAGTCAACGCACTTTGCGGGGGCCTCATGAATTTTACTACAATTGCCGCTTTACGCACTTTTTTCGCATATTTACGTGCTTTTAATCAAAATTCAATTCGATTCATTAAAGTTTTGCTCACTTTTCATGGCAATTTATTCATGCGAGGAATTATTTAAATACTTTAAATTGAATTTACATTTCTTTAGCTAACATAAAAGTCGAGGAATTCTCAAAATTTTTTAACATTTTTAGCCCTTGTTCATAACAATCGACTATTTTGAAAAGGATTTTTCGAAAACAGAAAATCCATTAAAAATCCTAAACTGCTTGCATTTAGCTAACGGGAAACTGCTTTCAGCTGATTGCGGCGAATTTCAACATTGAAATGCTCAAACTACTTTAATTAACTGCTTGCTAAAAGAACTGCTTTTAAGCCAGCAAATTTTCTTGTTAAACATGTGTGATATATAAAATAAATTATTTTTAGCGAAAAGCTACCAAAATGTATATTTAACAATTATAAGAAATTAGTTTTTGTCATATATAACTATTTAACGACTTATATTAAGACAAGAGTTGCCAATCAGTAGTTAGCGCGTTGCCAACTACACTGTTTTAATCACTCACGCTAGTTCCAGTTTAGCATGTTTAGTTCCAAATTAACATTATCATAACAGCAAAATAACATGCGATAGTTATATTTATGTTGCTCGCTACATGTTTTTATACAATCAATAAACATAACTACTGGCTGCTTCTCTTTTGGCTAATTACGATTCTAGAATGAATTTAATGTATATTCAATGAGCGTTCGATAGATATTAGCTGTTGTTAACAGGGCGGCACGTAAATTCGATATCAGCTGAGCGAAGCTCACCACACGCCCTTACATATTTGACAGAGTGTGGGGATTCTCCTCTCTACGTGCTGCAAAGACTCATTTGCCATAAAATACTTTTAGTTCGAACGCGCTGGTTGACGGTTTTGGGGCCAATCAAGTTTGCTTTGTCGGTGTTAATAATACTGTCATTTAAATACCGCTATCGCTTATATTAGCCACAATGGGCAACGTGGACGATGACGGCGCTACCTTCCAGCAGAGCTATGTCAAGTGCAGCAACGGCACTGTAAAGACTTCCACTCCAATCAGCAATGGACACATTCCCAACCAACATTTGTCTAAATCGTGGCGAGATGTGCAGCAGCCACAGCAACAGAAGGAGCCGCAAGATGATCACGAGGAGGAACTGCAGCAGCTGCTGCTAAACAAACAACTGAAATTCTCTGCACCGGCATACACCGAAATCCGCACACGCTCTGGAGGCCTTAATTTCAAGGTGAGCTGACCGAAAAAACGAAAAAAATATCAGAAACAAGCGGGCGAGGCAAGGCAAATTTGGAAGATATTTTTTTCACGCTTTTGCTACAGTTTCTGCTTCTTGCTCTCCTCGTGCCGGTGCTTCATTGATTTTGCTTGCAAGTATGTGTGTGTGCGAGAGAGCAAGCCCATGAAAAAGCAGGCGTGTGTACGAAGAGAGCAACGCGCCAAAAAAGAAAAAAACAAAAAGAGTAATCCACGCGTGCATGTGTGTGTATATGTGTATTCTCTTGTGTGTGTGTGTTGTGCATTGCCTTAGTCAGCTGCTGCGGGCAAAAGGTGGGAAATGTGTGCAGCTGGCGCCACTTGCACTGGCGCAATTTGTGGGTCAATTTCCAGCTGTTGGCCGCATTTATGGCCCACCCGAATGCAGTGCCAAATGCAGTGTTTTCTCGCTCTCTCCCTCGCTCTCTCGCTCTTTCCACTGTTCAGCTTTCTTGGCCACATTTGTTTTGGGTATTAGCTTCCGTTGCATATGTACGTTTGTTGCCCCGGCAACAGAAGTACATGTGTCCTGGCCCTGCGGGCACCTCTGACCCGCTTGGGGCTCCCGCACCCCGATCGCTTTGCCGGTGGGTTTGGGCAATCGTGATTCCACCTTCTTATCAGCCAAACACTCATTCAGTACACAAGAATTTGTACGCAAAGCTTTTGAATAAAATGCGCTCCAACGCCGCCATTGGGGCGTTGTGGGGTGACTCACCGTTAGTCGGATGGTTTTCGGATTGGAATCAATGTTTTTTTTTATTTTATTTTATTTTTTTTTTTTTGTTATTATTTTTGATTTTGCTTTGCTTTTGTTTTTGTCGATAAGGTTCTTAGTTCATTATGAGCTCATAGAAAGCAGAGAGGGAGGGAAAGTAAAAAAAAAGTGTGTTCTGCCAGGTATAGAAACTTTTCTATGATTATTTTAATTAGGTAAATATAATTAAAAATTAGTTAAAACTACAAATATATTTATTAATAGTTATTGATTATATTTTTTAATTTATAGAAAATGCTTTGTAAAGACTT